GCACACATGATGATGATGATCCTTCAGCAAGATTATATTGTAAAATCCTTATAAAAGTTCACTATTTTACAATGGGGAAAAGCTTCTTTTGGTCTCTTCAGAAAGATTTCCAGGGTGAGATTTTTGTGGTCTAGTTGGGAAATGGTAATAACCAGAACTGTTACATCAAGCACTGATGAACACAAATTTGAACACAATAAGTTTGTGAAGGTTTATTGTTTTTTTTCTATCAGATAAAAGTGTTGAGTGACTATATATGTCTTCCCCAGCAGGCTGATGAGCCTGTAACAAGTCATTTATTCATAAAGCAAATAATCAAAGTTTCTGGTTTGGAGGAAGTCTAATATTTCCAAAGATCTTTGGTGGTTGAAACATTAAGGGAGAAGTGGGGGACATGTTTGTGATGGAAGACACATGTCCTCTGCCTGCCAGTTATTATCTATTTGACCATAGGCAAATTCATCTTTAAAATGAAGGCAGTAAATTTAAAAACAGCCCTTTTTTAAAAGGGCCAAATAAACATAAAGCTATGTATAAATGTGAACCAGCAATTCAGGTGCCTACTATTGGCAGAACACTAGATAAGAAGATGGGAGTATACTGTGATCCAAGTGGCAATGGAGTGATAAATGTAAATGGGGTGTAGCATATTACCTACCAACAATAGTTTGGAGTGCCTCATTAACATTTAGAAAGAAAAGTTGAGGTGGTTGGTACAGAGAACTAATAGATAACTAGACAGCTCAAGTTCTGCTGTGTTCCCCACGTAATTGGCTTCCAGGATATGGTTGAGGTCCTTTTTGGCAGTAGTGCCAAACAAATAGGGGGTGGAGAACAGCAAAAGGTACACGAGCTGCATATTGTGATTTAGTTTTGTATTTGTTAGATATTTCCCCATTATATTTTAATCTGGCTCTGGTGGGTGGAAATATTATGCTTGCTGGGGCATTTTGGCATGTCAGCTTTGGAGGATTTATGTAGACAGGTGCGAATGGATTCCTTCCTTTAGAAGGAATACCCAAAATAGATATCAGGAATCCATCGAAAGGTGTTTTTCTGCCTGTCTTTACAGTTTATTGCAGCCTTGAGGATTGATTTAGCCATGAAGTAACTTGGCCTAGTATTTCCCTTTTAAATAGTGGAATTTAATTTTAACTGCTATTTTCAGTTTTCCTCAAAATATAAAGCAATAAACACTGAAAAAATTTTATCTCGTAGTAGGCAATGATGCTGTTTGCATCTTTTATCAAGCACTCTTCTAGGAGGAAAGGGGTGTTATTGACATTCTGTAAACTTTTCCGTACACCTGAATATCAAAGGAGAAAAATTAAGAGTTTACTATGTACATAAATATAACATTTGGTAGTCCCGAAACTAAAGATTTGTCACACCAGGTTTGAACCTTGATTTTGTTCATTATCAACCAACAAGTTGTATTTATGGCATGGTTTTTGAAAGATGTGCATATTTACTTTTACAGTTTCTCAGTCTAGATTTGACTGAAAGGACTGAATTCTGATTTCACAAAGAAAGGCTTCAAAGATTTTACATTTTGTAACTTCATTGGCTGAAAATCAGTTGGGTGATTTTAGATTAATTAGGTCATCTTATATTGGGATGTTTTCTAGTTCAATGAAAAGGATTTCATATCCAAAACATTCACTGGGCTTTGGTCAGAAATTGTAGTCTTGTTTTACAGATGCACAGTAGCATTGTCCCATTTTCCACCTTCACTGCCAACTCATTTTCTCATTAATCCTTAATAGTAGAATTTGTATAGTGCCATAAAGTTTGCTAGACACTGAACATTTTATCCTCAACCTGTGAGGTAGCTGTCCCTAACACCATTTTACAGAGAGGAATCTTTGGTATTCTGGTTAAGTGACTGACCCAGGGATTTCCCAGCTAGTGTCTGAGGGTCTTCTGGACTTCAGGTCCAGCACTCAAGTCTGTTGCACCAGAAACCCTTTAAACTGTCCCAGACTGGTCATGGATGGTTGGAGGTGATTTGGGGCCAGCAATGCGAGGCAAGAGGGTGGGGTTAAATTTGTGTTTTGACAACAATGCTGTTTTGAAAGCCAGGCAACTACTTCGTAAATCTTCTAAGTTTATTTAACCAGTACAAGTATCCTAAGAATTAGTAGTTTTTTCTGCTTCAGGGAAGAAGACGGGGTAATAGAAATACTGGTAATGTTACGGATTAAGTGAATTTTAGAGAAATGTCACTTTTTAACACCTTGACTCAGAGTCCACAAGCTATAGGGAGGTAGGAATATTGTGACTTAGGGTAGCATAGATCTGACCCTAGTGAAGGGTAGCATATATAATGGATGGAGGCTGACTTTTGGGAGAGAAAGCTGCTTTTAAGATGAGTTCTGATATGTGTAATCTCTGACCATGGGCAAGTCCCTTAACCTCGTAGGGTGAGGCAGTTTTGCACACTGGGAATTCTTTGCACATTGGGAATGATACACCAATGAAATCACAAGTGGCAGTGGGACACTATCAAAGAAGAAAATGCAGATTCGTAGCTGGGGCTTGCTTTAGGATGTCTTGGGTAACAAATGACACTGCCATAAAAGGTAAGTTTTATCTAGTTGAACACTGCAATTTTGAGGCATAAGTTCTGTCCCTAACCAAACTTGTTAGCTAAGACCCTGCCAGGTGCTCAGAGGTGGTGCTAGTGTTCCCTTCCAGTAGGATATATCTGCTATTTGAAGGTCAGACCTTATCACCAGTTACTGCATTTTAATGTGTGGACTTACGTGTGCCTTTATTAGATACCATAAGGGTTTTTCCTCCTTTTGCATTGTCACTTGTTAATCTGGAAGTTGAGATGTTACTTTAGCTATCCTAAAATTATTTTAGATACAATCAGCTTGACACCTGACCTAGTATGATCTTACGGTGGTAGGCCTGGCTGGGGTGCTTTCTGTTCCTCGCCCTTCCTGAATTGGTCAATTTCTACAATATTTAACTATGCTCCAGAACGCAAACAGTTGTACCTTAATTTTTCTTTCTTACCCAAAACAATAGATTTCAAAGCCCCCAGATACCTGCTTTCTCCTATTTTTCTTGTGACCGTAAGCTCTAGACCAGTCTGACAAGGGGAGAGGGTAAGGCAACTGTGGGAACTTGCACATGTGGTTGGAAGGCTTCGCTTTGTAAAGAGGAACCATAAGTTTGAGAATCTACACAGAGTGAAATAAAAGGTCCAGGGCCCCAACCGTTTGTGAATGACGAGGGTGAGGATGGCAGAGAGGTGGTGCTGGGGGCGGAGGTGGTGGAAAGGGATTAAAGGATTGAGAGAAGTTGAGCCCCTGACCAGAGTTGACCGGTCAGGCTTGTTAGGATGATAGGCTACCATGGCGCATAAGCACTTCGGGATCACTAGGTGGCAGCCGTGCGTTTCCAGAGCCATTTGGACTTAAGAAAGCAATGGCCGAAGGCTGAGAGACCCCGGAGGGGGCGTCCCGGGGCCCCCAAAATGAAGAATGGCGGAAGGTGGAATTGACTTGAGTTCTGTAAGCAGGCAGAATAAGCCGGTCGGGGTTCGGGGAATTGCTAAGAATTAGGAGGCAAAGCAGAGTGCGAATGCTTTATACCGAGACATGTGGACCGTGGAGCATCCGCGCCAAACCTTTACGCTTTGGGCAGCTTGGAGTGGGGCGACCGTCTAGGGACTGCCGGGAGGAGGTGGCGCGATCTCGCGTGGGCCCGCGGGGTGTGTTACCGCCTCCCCCTCTCCCCTCCTCCCCGGAGCCGCCCCGGGGGCTGGGCCTGTACCGCCCCCTCACCCCGCCGCTCCCCCTCCCCGCCTAAGCGCCAGTCAGTGTGCGAGTGCGAGGACGCTCAGTGCCTGACGGGCTGGAAATGAGCTCTGGAGTTTGGCCGCGACCGGCAGGGGCGCGGAGCGGGCAGGCTGTCCGCGGCGTTATTGCGCCCGCGAGTTCCGACGGCTCCGCGGCTCTCCAGACCCGGCTCAGCGGACCGAGACTGACTTCTGTTGAATAAGCTGCGGCGCCTCGTCGCCCTGCCCCTCGGAGAAGCCGGTACCATCGCCGAGCGTCCGACCGCCCCCCTCCCCCACCCCACCCCCCTTTTTTCAGCCAGGAGCCGGGCGGAGGAGGAGGCGGAGGAGGAGGAGGAGGAGGCTGCGCCGCCGGTGCCGCTCCAGAGCCGCCTTTGATGTGGGCGCGGTGCACACCGCTGAGCTGAGCTCCCGTCCGGCCGCGCCCCGAGGGGGGAGCCCCCCAGCCCCGCATCCTCATTGTGCCGGCTTCGCTCCGGCCCCAGCCCTCCCTCCCCCACGCCCCCCCCGGCCCCCCTCCCTCGCCGCCCGCGTTGAAAACGCCCCGGCCGCCGCCTGTGGTGGGAGGTGGTGATGCGGACGGACGGAGACGCGGCGAGGAGGAAACATGAGCCGGCGGGAGCCCAGACGGAGTGGCTTTAACGCCTCCCCGAAGCGGTGCGCCCCGGCCCCCGCGCCCTGACCCCCCAGCTCCGCGCCACCCCCCTAAGAGCCAGCCCCGCCCGACCTTTCCGCCCGGCCGGCCATGCTGTCCCCGGAATAACCTGCTTGCGCCGCAGACGAGACTAGGCTTCCAGCGGCAGCGGGTCAGAGCCCCAAGCCTCGGCGCCCGGGAGCCGAGTGCGAAGCGTCCCCGGGAGGCTAGCAGCGGGCGGGCACCCCCTCCCCGGCCTTCGGAAGTTCCTGGTCCACCGAAGCGCCAGCTCCTCCGACCCCCCGAGGGCGCAGGGCCCCGGCAGAGGAGGCGGCAGGAGCGGGGGCTCTGATGCCGCAGGGAGCGGCCGGCAGGGCAGCGGAGCAGCAGCAGAAGCAGCGGCCGCGGCGGCGTTGGCGGCGGCGCCCGCTCCCGTCCTCGTCCTCTCCGGCTCCCGGCCCAGCCCCGCGGAGCGGAGCCGCTGGAGCCCCCCCAGAGCCGCGCGGCGCCGCCCGCTGTAGCTCGCCGCCTCACATGTCCAGGCTGGGACCCGGGCCCCGGCGCAGTGACGTGACCTCGGGCTAGAAGCCGCCGCCTTCCTCCCTTCTCAGCGATGTATTCAGTGTTCTCCGCCTGCACTTGCCTGTAAGCGCCGCGCCTCCCAGGCTGGGTCCTCGGGTGCCCCTTTAACCTTCCCCCCGCCCTTCCCCCCTTTCATTCCCAGCGTCTGTCCGGTCCCCCGATGTCTGCCCACTTTCCGTCCCCACTCACACTCCCACCCTGTGGCCGCTGCCCTCCGCGGTCGTCCCGGGTATCCAGCTCCCCGTCTGACCGGCTCTCACTCTCTCTCCTCCCTGCAGATGTTTACACTTCCTGCTGCTGTGCTTACAGGTACAGGTACGTGACATTTCTGGGCTCTCTCCACGGGCGGGCACCGGGGGACGCGGACCCACCCTCCCCGGCGGCAGGTGCCAGGGCTCAGGCCGCTTTGGTTCTCCCCGTTCGGGTGGCTTGTCCTGTCCCTAGCACTAATGGTCTCCCGGGTGGAGGGTGCGCTCAAGCTGCTCCAGGTTTTCCAGTCTCTGCCTCTTGCTGGAGTCCTTCTCCAGCAACCTGCCCCCCACCTTCCCTCCCGAATCCAGCCCGATGCCCCTCTTCCCCCATCCTCTTGATTCCTCTTTTTGCTGGTGGTCCCGGGAAGCGGGGGTGAAACGGCCCCGGGAGGGGGGCGGAATTGGCAATGCACCTGTTCTTGGGATGCTGGAGGGGTGGAAAGCCGTAGGTACTCTGGGGTGACAGTATGTCAGTGTGGCTGTGGGGGACACAGCCCGTCCCCAGGGTCTCAGTTGTGTATCTCAACCTGATGTGTGTGTTTTTTCTCCTTGACTGTTTGATGTCAGGAGATCCTGATCAGCTGCAGAAATATGACCAGATCCAAGACCCATGCGAGGAGTTTTGACATATTTTCCCTGAAAATTGCTACTAGATTGTAAAAACAAAAAGACTCCTTATTTCAGCAGAGCTGATTTCTAGTCCAGAGAGAAACCTTCAGCTGTAAATTACTCTGTGGTTTCAAAGGCGTTTGCTGTATTTCGAGAGAGGGAAAGAGAAAGGAGAAGGAAGAAGGGGGGGGAGGTAAGGGGGTGGTGAGAAGAAAGAAAGAGACAAAAAGGGAAAGAGAGCCTGATTGTGTGAGGGCTAGCAGGGCTAGGTGGACAGCACCCTTCGGGGGCAGCAGGATGAACTGCGAATCCTCACTCCTTCGCTGAAGGTTGCTCACTCCTTCGCTGAAGGTTGCTCAGACCTCGGCTCGTTCCCCTTAGTAGTTCTCAGTGAATCAAGAGAGGGGCTGGCGCCCCGCCTGGAAAGCACTTGCTAAAATCTGATCTCTTACTTCAGCAGCCTTCAGACTTGGGGAAGTTATTGGCATGCAGACAGTTGGAACGCGCCGGCTTCCAAAACCATGAAATAATGAAAAGAAGGAAAAAAAGGAGAGAGAAAGCCGCCTCAGCTACGATTAGAACCAGACCAGGGGCGGCCTCTCCACTTGGGGGGGGTAGAGGGAGGGAGGAAGCCTGAAGCCCCAGCTGCTGGGGCCCCTACCCACCTGGGGCAGGGAGGGAGGAGACCAGTGAGGGGAGCTGGACTCTAGCCAAAGGGATTATGCACCTCCCCCATTCCCCCTGACTTGACTGAGGGCAGGTGTGGGAATATGTCCAGGGGAGGCTGGCCCTTTGTACTGGACCCTTACAATGCCAGGTAACAGGGATGATTAGAGAGTTGGGGGGAAATCTGTAGTTTCTCACATTTTTTAGTGGGAATGCCAGGAGTTGTGTGCTGGATAATTGTCGAATTTGGCAGGGGCACCCATAACATCCTAGAGATAGTAGAAGTGTCAAAGAACTACTGTGGGGCTTTTTAGGTTCTCTGGGGTGTATGTGTACAGGGACTTCAGCCACCTCTTCTCCCTGTCCTGTCCCCTCCCCTTCTAATCACTTTTCTTTGCCCCAGGGAAGACCTGTTCTTCAGGTCCTGGGGACAGATGCCTTTGCTGCTTGCTCCCACCCCCACCCCTTTGGGGAGTCATTAGCAACAATTCTGGAAGTTAAGTGTGCTGGGCAATTAGGGTCAGCTTGCCAGATGATTGGGTTGCAGGGCTAGGGTTGGACAGACTGTCCTTTACTCCTGCATGGCTGTCTGGGGTCGGTGGCTGGTGTCCCTGGTGACTCCTTGGATCGATAAGGCAGGAGCCAGTAACTTAAGACAAGCCCGTTTGCAAGAGCAGATGTGACCCTGTGTTAGACCCAGGGGAGGAGTGTGGGGGATGTAAGGAGGGAGGGGAGACCCTTGGTCAGAGATGGAGGTCAGGGCCTGAAGTGCCAGGACTATATTCAGTACTGTGTTTCCTAGCTGGGGTAGTCCTTAGATATGAGATGAAGGGATTGGACTTAGAGATCCTCTAAGATCCTTTCCAGCTCTAATAGTTTATGATTCATTTTGAGTGGTGCCAACACATTGAGTCTTTATTAAGTAACTGGGCCCTCTGAATGGTAGGGAGGAGAGGAGGGCTTGGTAAAGGAGGAGGAGGAGGAGGAGGCATGTAGTAGTGCCACCATTAGCTTTTTGATGTGGATACCTGCCTGGGGCCACTGCCCAAACTTCCTAAAGTAGGGCCCCAGGAAGGTTTTGTGTGTGGTCTTTGTTTTTGTGTCTTTGTGTTTGTAAGAAGCTGAGCCTCTTTCCTCCTCCCTTGACCTCCACCTCCCACCCCCCACTAAAACAAGAGCTAGTGCTTCTGGAGAGCTGTTGGGTGGTCTGTCTGAGTGAGGTAACCTTAGACATAGAACCTCATATTCTAGTAGCCTCCCAAACCCTTTCCAGTGAGGACATTGACCTCCATACTCTTGCCCTACCCCCAGCATCCCAGGGTGAAGGGGCATAGCTTCTCTCTCTCCCTTCTCAGAAAAGTCTTGAGTTCACAACCATGCCTGAAAGGGTTATGGGCTATTATTCTAGAATCCCCCTCCCATGAAAGAAGTACTTTGAGGTGCTAATCCCTAGCTGATGTGTATAGCTATCTCTCATCCATGTCACACAGTGGCTTTGTGGGAAAAATTAGAAAGATGAAGGTGAAGGGTACTGGGCACTTTCAGATGCCAGGGTGTCCAGGAGAAGTGCATTAGCCGGAGAACAACAGAGATAGTTTTAGGAGAAGAAAAGACAAAGATGTTTTGTTAGCTTTATTTAAATTTTTTAATAGCCTTATGTCAGTAACTGAGAAAAATTCAAGGCAGGTGGAATGATGCTAGTGAGGCAGTGCTGTTTGGCAGACAGAGCCTTAGCCTCAGCAGGAGGATGGAGCTGTGGTCTTAGCTGTGTCCCTGCCTTTATGACTTAGCAAATCCCGTTGCTCTGGGCCTTATTTTATTCATCTGTAAAATGAAGGGAATTGAACTAAATTATCTTTAGGCCCCTTCCAGCTCAAACAGTCTATATTCTAAGGTTCCTTCTAGCATAAAATTCTCATTCCTTCCATCTCTGTTTCTCATCTCTAATCTATGCAGTGAGTAATGCAGTTTTGCTGCAAAATAGAAAAAAAAACCCACATCTTCTCTGTTTGCCTTTTTTTTTTTTTTAAAGTTATCTCCAAATCTAAAATATGATTTCTGGGGTTTTTCACAATGCTCCTATAGGGGCCACAAGGCCCAGGCCAGTCAGTTGTGTTTTAGTGTCTTCCTGTCACCAGGAGACACAGACCTATGCAGGCTACAGGGTGAGTTGGCAGGGACCCCCGCCTGTCACCCTGAAATCAAAGCTACGTTTCTGGGAGCACATCCAGAGGAGGACACTGTCCTGCCATGTTAGCTAGGGGTTTCAGTTTTGCCTTTTCTCTCTCCCTCCCCTGGCTAGGACTCCACTGAATGAAAGCCTGGAATTTAATAAAACCCCTTATCCAAGGAACTCAGGACACCTCAGATGGTTAAAATTGGAAGAATTTTAAAAATTTAAGCAAAGAGCAGAAACCGTGACAAGTAAATTGCTTTTTTGCACTTGGCTGAACGTTGACAATGACACCGGCCTCGGTCTTTCACTCCCTGCTTCTCCGGCACCTGCCTGACATTGTTCCCTGTCCGGTTCCAGCAATGGGGGCTTAACCAGAGACAGAGAGAGGCTGGAAAATGCGGAAAAGCAAAGTGGGAGGGAGGCTGCAGTTCTCGAAGCTGGGGGGGAGGCGGGGTTGTGGAGAGGGGGTGCTGCGATGTAGGGAGCTGCTTCTCTGTCTAGATTTGATGATTTGTTTCCACCTCTCCTGTGTGCTCTCTCCTCTCCCTGGCTCATTTCCTCCCTCACCACATGGTACTTGGAAGGTTAGAATGTTCCCTGAATCCCTCATCTCCCTCACCACCCCCCACTCCTTTTCTGACCTGCTTCCTCTGAGGCCCAGGACCCTCCTCCTTAAGCAGGCCCTGGATATGGGGGCCAGTTAGGAGACAATACCCTCCTGGTCGATGATAGGAAATCAGGGCTCACTGGGTGGCCAAAGGGTGAAGATTTCTCAGGGTGTCCCTGTGATTTCTCTCCACCCCTTCCCCCACGAGTGGCTTATTATATTTGTGCAATGCTTTTAACTTTCCAGAGTGTGTTCACACATCTCTAATCTCACTTTATCTTCACAACAACCTGCTGAGGGAACTAGGGCATGTATAATTGCCTTCATTTTACAGAAGAGGAAATGGAATCACAGAGAGAAGTTCAATGACTTGCCTAAGATTACACAGAGCTATGTCCAAGAAGCAGCTTGATTTTCTGACTCCAGTCTAACACTCTCTGTGAGTGATTGAAACAGAGCCTTTATAGATGGGTGTATCCCGGTAAGAATGGAATAAACGAGGCACAGATAGACATGCTTTTGGTCTTGGAGTAAAAGATCCTACCGAGATCTTCTTAGGTAGGGAAGTAGGTAAGAAACTAAGATTCTGACCTGCCTCTTAGAACCCATGGAAACTTCTTTGTAGGAATGGTGTAAAATGTGTCTGGCTACTGTGTCCTCCAGCTTCCAGATCTGGTCCGAGTTTTTGATCTATTAGATTTGGTCGATTTAGATCCATTAGACTTTATAGATCCAAATAGATCTATTATCGCCCCATTAGATTTTATGGATCTAAATAGATCTATAATTTTGATCTATTTAGATCTATTAGACTTCTTTATCTATAATCTTCCTTTTTATGTCTGCTCCTCTGAGCAGGGTTGATACCTCCAACTAGTCCAGCCTTCTTCATTTTTATACAAGAGGAAATTGAAGCTGGAGGTTAAGTGCTTTGTCCAAGGTCACACAGATGGATGGTAAGTGACAGAGCCAAGATTTGAACACAGATCCTCTGATACCAAGTCTA